CTCTCTCAGGCGCCACACCAGGGTGCGACCGGGTGCGACCGGTCGGTGCGACGCCGCCGTCGTTTACGTAGCGGGTCGCCCGTTGTGAAACACGTGCCAAGTGGCGTCCTGTGGTCTTGGAACCACCGTCACGTTACGAAAATCCAATCGAAGAAAAACTGAACGACATTCGAGACAATCGAAGCGCCACCAAGACACCGGGACTAACGTTACTCACCTTTCCCACGGAGGTTTTATCCACGGCAGGTTCAGGTGCGCGCAGCCATGCAGCGGTGCGCTCCCGTCTCAGGTGGCGGCCGAGTCGTTCACCGCCGCAGCGAGCAGGCTCACAAGCAGGAGGACGGCGTCGTCATCCTGTCCGCCGAACACACGGCCTCCAGTGCTCGTTATCCCGACCGGCACTTGCTATACGCGTCGTCTGCTGGCGGCGCGCGCGTCGTCTGCTAGCATCCACAACACTAGACTGCCTGTGCCGGGGCCTCCCGCCGCTGCTGGGCCGCGCCGGGACTGACAGTGCCCGCCACCACCACCACCTCCACCTCTACCACCACCACCTCCACCTCCAGCAGCAGCACCAGCGCCAGCCCGCCTCGAGCCGCAGACCGGGCCGCGTCGTGCTGCGGCGGTGGCGGTGGCAGCGGTCGCGGCGGGCGGAGGGAAGGCCCACCGCAGCCTCTCCGCTCGCGCCCCGGCCCGGACGCCGGCCGCGGGTGCAGGGGCGCGGTGTGGGGGCGGCTACAGCCCGTTGTTGTTGTTCCACAAGGCGCTGGCCGGTATGGCCACGCGACCGCCCTTTAACGAGATGCCTGGGCGATAAAAAGCGGTGCAATGTTGCACTTGCTGCACGGGCGAAGGGGCTAATGATTTTGTCGCGTGGCACCAGAGGGAGAGAGCGAGGAAGAGGGAGAGAAGCACTAATCTGTCTCTCTCTTTCTCTCTCAAACCCTCCCGCACAGAAAAATTCAACCGATCCGCGTCTGACACAAGGCGGGTGTCCCGGTCGCCGATTAGCCAGTTCCCTCCACGTCGCCGGACGGAAATCGGTCTTTTTTCGGCCTCTGTGCGCATCTGACGGAAGACCGAAAGCAGGCCGATTTCAGTCCGGCGACGTGAAGGAAGCTGGCTCGTCTCCGGCCGAGGAGAGACCGAAATTTTGACGAATGATCGCTGAAATATGTCTGGCGACGTGAAGGAAAGTGGATCTTCTCTGGCCGAGAAGGGACCGAACCTTTGCCGAATGATCGTTGTATGATGTCCAATTTGAAGAGGAGAAAGCACCGGTAGCGCGGCCCGAGCCGCAAAACGCAAATGCGCTGCCCGACGCGGAGAGTCGAACCCTCGCCAGCCGGTCACTCACTCAGCGGTCGGCGACGGTATCCACTTGGCCAGAGCGAACACCTGTGAGCGGGGGAGACCGGTGGAGCCTCACATTCTGCTCTGCAGCGAAGCGGGCACTTAGGGACTTCTGCTCTCGTCCTCTGCTACCCGAGTGTATCCGAATGTGACGGAGTACTCCAGAACACTATCCTACTAATCGCCAACAGTAGGCATAAGAAACAGATATTAATTGCCAACAGTAGGATAGTGTTCTGGAGTACTCCGTCACATTCGGATACACTCGGGTAGCAGAGGACGAGAGCAGAAGTCCCTAAGTGCCCGCTTCGCTGCAGAGCAGAATGTGAGGCTGCACCGGTCTCCCCCTCTCACAGGTGTTCGCTCTGGCCAAGTGGATACCGTCGCCGACCGCTGAGTGAGTGACCGGCTGGCGAGGGTTCGACTCTCCGCGTCGGGCAGCGCATTTGCGTTTTGCGGCTGGGGCCGCGCTACCGGTGCTTTCTCCTCTTCAAATTGGACATCATACAACGATCATTCGGCAAAGGTTCGGTCCCTTCTCGGCCAGAGAAGATCCACTCTCCTTCACGTCGCCGGACATATTTCTGCGATCATTCCTCAAAGTTTCGGTCTCTCCTCGGCCAGAGACGAGCCAGCTTCCTTCACGTCGCCGGACTGAAATCGGCCTGTTTTCGGTCTTTCGTCAGATGCGCACAGAGGCCGAAAAAAGACCGATTTCCGTCCGGCGACGTGGAGGGAACTGGCTAATCGGCGACCGGGACACCCGCCTTGTGTCAGACGCGGATCGGTTGAATTTTTCTGTGCGGGCTCAACCGTTTCTTTCACTGAACTCTTGAGAGCCCTTGGTCCCTCTCGCTCTCTCTCTCGCTGGACAGCAAAGTCCTTGCAGTTAGCCACAGCCGTGCTGGCATACTACTTCGTAAAAGGTCCGCTTCCCGTGGAAGTTGATAGTAGATATATCCCGCACCCGATCACGCTACGTTACTCCCGCAGCTTGCGGAAGGTGTGATGGAGCGGTGTCGGCCGGCAGGTGTTCGCTCTCTCACTCGTACTCACGCGGAACGAGCTCGCGGCGCCTGTTCCCCGCGGGCTATGATTGGATTCTGCATCAATTTCCTTCCATTTCGGGAAAAACCGCCGACTTCGTGCAAAGACAGGAGTAGTGGTGGCAGGCGTCGTGCCGCCCCCGCCAGCATCCCCACACCCGCGCCTCGCGTCCTGGGGCTCCGACGACGACACTAACACCAGGAGCGAAGGACGCCCTGCCCTGTAATGCACCGTGTATGTATGCTTGATTGCGCACGGAATTCGGCCCGTACACTGTACACCGCTGTTGCCATTTACGCGACGAACAACCTCCTTTTTCTCTTTGGCAGGGTAGAGAATGGCCGCTCTTCCGTGATAGACAATACTGAACGGGCATTACCTAAAGTACGGCCCGTCCTTGGGCCGCGGCCGCGCCGTCCACACCTCGCGCACTCATCCACCTGCCACCTTCCTGCTCAGATTGGACCCAGACCTGCCCACATTGGACTTCCATTGAAATCGTAATTACTATTACTAGGTAACCACTTCCGATGTACAGCGAAACCTTTTCACGGGTGGGGAGCCAGGATGAGCACCACAACCACAACTACGTCCTGCACGACAACGCCCTGTCGTCCGGGACCACGTACTTATCGTCGTCGCTCCCAATACGCAGGCGGTGTGTCACCATATCTCCTTCCTTCGCCCTCTGGAGGAAGTGGAAACGACCGCGCTCTGGAAACCTCGCTGTGAGACACTCTAACACCTCCTGGTGTAGCACAAAATTGTCCTACACCTTTTGGTGTGAGGCACTTGTGCAATACACCTATCGCTGGGAGGCACTTGAAGCCTACACCTTTTGGTGTGAGACAGTGCGTCCGACACCTCACACCAAATGGGCATGGGACACAAGTAGTGCCTTAGGCCGAAAGGTGTACTACAAAAGTGCCTCACGCACCAAATGGCGTAGGACACTTCGGTACTATACGAACAGGTGTAAGACTGTTTCACATAGAGGTTTCCAGGGTAAGAGTAGGGGGTGGGGTGGCGCATCAGGTGAGTAGCCTATAGCTATTGAGAGACCCCAATAAACACGAAAAACTCACGAGGACGTCATATTGACATCAAAAGGACTAATTTGGTCACGAAAAAGGTCAAAATTTAGGCCAAAACTCGGTCATTTTGACGTCAAATGACCGAAAATGACCTATTCGTGACATTTTCGTGTTCTCTGGGAGGGTTTTTCCCTTTTGAATCGACGTTTAGCTTTCATCCTAACTTTCCATGATGATCTAATTTATTTTTGTTGTCGAAGTATGACGATGCTTCAAGCTTCACTCTTATGCTGCTGGTGCTACGAAGACAGTTGGGGCAGGGTGTGCGAGACGATCGACAGTTTCGCGCTGTCATTCGTTTGACGCACCATAAGCGATGTAAACAACTCATGACAGGTATTCCGCTTTGGTTCGTGTCAGTCGCATCACCTTTATGTCAGCACTACTGTGTTAGTTGTGCCATACTACTGGCAACAAAATCGCACTGCTGTTCAAAAAAATTCAAAGTGAATCAGGTAATTTTGCCCCTTGAATAAACTGTTATTTTCCATGCAATAAATACTGTTTATTGCCACATGCATCCTTTGCGCTTGCGGCTAAAATTCCGAACGAATTCCATAGTAGAGATGGAGCTTTTACGAGCACGACTTTGAATAAAGCACCTGTGTCTACGGCTTTACGACTTACGATGTGGCTGCTGCATGCTGTGTCCGCGAGGCTGCCACGTCCCCGAAGAGAGCGCAACGCAACGAAAGAATGTCAAATTATTTTAGCAGAGTCAAAAGGCTTCGCAATGGATACGGAATAAACACACCTCCTCGAGTGCCGGAGTTTGTGAAGCGCCTTCCTCCAGGAGCACCACCGACACCACATCGATCAGCCGGCACAGAGAATCTACTCTCGACACCTTGACTGCGTCTCATGTTTATGGGGGTACGGAGGACAAAAGATGGACGACTATTGCAGGTGGCGACGAAGGCAAATTGGTTCACCGCAAATAATCAGTGGTGCCACAGGGGCATGAAGCGCGACTAGAGGGAACGGTATGTGTGTCTGATGCTGACAAATAGGATGAGGTGCTCAGTCGTAGGAAAATAACAGCGTATTATACTTTCAATTCCTAGTCAACCGCTCGTTGAGGGCGGTATCTTGGAGCTTGTAAAAAGTTGTCTCTCTTACGGATGAACACTAATTCGAAGGCAGCTGACCTCTTGTCTCTGCAGTAGTATCAACGTCGTCACGGCAAGTGACATCCACCGCATTCCATTCTTCTGATAGTCCACAATGAAGAAAGTAAAGGCCTTTGACCCAAACTTACCTCACTGTCATAGTGTCGTTTTCTTAAATTATTGGTAATAAGTTGGATTTAAATGACCTTTTGAGCATTTAGACATTTTGCAAAACAAACCGTAGGAAAAGTAGGGTAAACATGGTGAGATGAAATCAACAGGCAGGCCCCAATCTACCTCGATCCTCCTGAAAAGTTTCTAAAACGCAAACGGCACACTCGCTATATGACCGTGTGCACTTTCCCACTGCAAAAGTGCAAAGTGGGGAAGCGCGCACGCGCACAGCAGCCTCCGAGACGCCGGCATCACTCGCCTCGGCGGCGTGGACCACACCGATCGGCTGATCGGTTCCCACGGAGTCCACCGCGTCGTGGCCATCAGTTAATGGACAGGAAGGTAACGAGCTGAGACGCGCGCGCTGGCGGGGAGCCAGCCCGCCACACCCGGGAGAGGTGTTGATTTGCGGATACAAGTAGTGTGCGCAGGGCATTGTGGGTAGACGGAGTCACGCCGATCTGGCCGTGAGATATCGCCCCGAGGCACGCGGTAGTCAACGGCGCATACGCGGCGCCCAGGAGCCGCTCCCTGGAGCAGTCATGCTCCCTGCCTGCCTATTCAGTGGAAGCCGGCATGAGAGTTTTAGTTGTGGCCCGGATTAGGAGTCACGCTGAGTGTAGCTTGGCCTGGATTTAGTCGCGGACCATGACCTGGACTGCGCGGCCGGGGGCGCCGGTCAGAGTGCCTCTGTCACTCTGCAGTCGGCGCAGCGGCGGCCGCGACCACATCCAA